TTTTTGATGAAGACCTAGACATACACGAACACATTTGGAAAATGAGATGCAACAGACACAAACAGGTTTTATCATTCTTTTCATTGTTGCCTCCCATTATTAAGAAATTGTATAGATACTAAACTATTTTTGTTATTCTTGAGAATTTCATTTTAAGATTCTCTTGGTGAGGAAAGATTTCTGTGCCTATGTATAAGCCAAACAATTTTAGTATGTTGAATACATTCCCACTTAGTTTTAGTTCTGGTACATAGAAAACACTCAATTTTTTTAAAAAGTCTGTGAATTTATTTTATGTGCTTAAATGTTTTTAAGAGCATTGCTCACATCTTCCTGTTGCTGCCTATTGGTGTGGAATCATAGATGTGGAAAGGAACTTACTAATTATCTTTTGTGATACCCTTGCTTTACAGAAGGAAACCCAGAGATACTATGTGACTGTTTCACTTTTATATGGTTAGTTAGGGTGAGAGCTGAGGCTAGACCCAGGATTGCAGGAGAATCAGTCCATTTCTTTCTGCTATATCATGCACAGTCCCTAAGCTTTGAATTTTGTTTTTTCCTCTTGAGAAAGAAGACAATCTTAGGAAACTGAATGTAAGCTTTATTTTTATATTTTATTCTTGCAAAATTAAATTAGCTGTATAACTATATTTTCCTTACCAAAATTCCACCCAGATTAACTTTGTTTTATTTCTGTCACATAGCGTTCATATATAGAGCTCTTTTTTGGTGCCTAGCAAAGTGCTTGGCCTATAGTAGTAATGGCCTCACAATAACATTTGTGTTTGAATATATGAAAAGTAACAAGTTATTGTTAAATATTTTCTTTCCTATCATTGCATCTTTAGTTTTCGTCAGTATCTTTAGGTTTCATTTTTATTTTTATGGTGGAATGTAGTAATACTTCTATAACAGCACTGCAAGTGGTTACCATTTTATGATTTGAATACCAGCATAGATTATATTTTAATTATTCTTCCTTTACTTTTTTTATGAATTTAAGTCATTTTTAGGTTTTTGTGGTGCTTTCCATAAGACCATAGAGACAACAGAAATTAGAGGATCTTATGTATCCATTATTTGATCAAATTTACCAAAATTAATTTGAGGGCTTTGTTTATTTTGGTGGTGGGGTTGGGAGGGAATGTTGAAAGGAAGAAGGATCAGACATTCTTGGTTTTCTTCTCCTTACTCTAGCTTGATTTTTAAGATCAGAGTTCTCTCTGAGTCAGAATTTCTTTTTCTGTAAAAT